GATGAATATACACCCTCTTTTAAAGGTCCCATGTCATGCTTTTCCAGTTATTACCCATCCCCTTGTGTCATATGTAGCTTTTTCTGCATGTAAACGGTCTGCAGAGTCACAAACCCTCAAAGTACACCCTGTAGGGAGTAAAACTCTAACACAGAAAAGACGTGTCTATTGGCGCGTTTCCACTACAGCGCGGAGCACGGTTTAAGAGGGCTGTGACGTCAGCGGCCCGTCTTTGGTTGCGTTTCCACTTGGCCTAGTACCGGCCGGCGGGTCCTAATTCACAGTTTTTCTGGCCTCATAAAATCGTGGGTCTAGGGCCAGAGACAACGAGGCTGAGTCGGGCTGAGTATGCTAAACTAGAGAGAGAATCGCTGGCAAGGGGGCTACAACTACAACAAGATGGACATATTTGACGGTGATTTAATTGTAATACACGTTTCAAAATGATGCCGAAGTAACAACATACTGATACCGGTTAGTAAAAACCATGAATGAATGCTTTGACAAGTCTGCAGACAGACGGCAGGCGAAAAACCTTTTAAAATGCGTGTTTTCTAAATGGAGATTGGCTAAGCTAACGCAGTATATGCTCCGACCGTCCACACTCACAACAACGGCCTATACAGACATAAATAAAGCAGCGACTGTATTCACCATGACACAGGCAGTCTGTGGTTTGTACTTGTTTAACTTTTGTCTAGTTTCTGAACATATATGAGGAGCTGTGAGCTCTGAGTGCTAACAGCTAACGGCTGTGTTGTTTTTCTGGGGTTCTCATTGAAGATGACGTCACGGCTCCGCCTACACTGCGTTACTATAGACACTACCCCAGTTCCTAAACTGTAATGGAAATGCGCCATAAAGTGAGCCAGTCCTAACGAGGCCTAGCCATACCGAGCGAGGCCGTGTAGTGGAAATGCGCCATATGCTGCCCCAGAACGCCTCGTTGGAGATTTTTCTTTTTCCATTTCTTTCTTCCTGAGTATGGTGATGTGACCATACCCAGGTCCAAATGGACCAATCCGTGGAGCTCCTCACACACACACACACACTCATTCAGCCTTATCTTTTCTCAGCTGCGGCTCTGCGGATTTCTCAGCTTGAACTCAGCCTGAGCACTGTGAGTGTGAGTGTGTGAGTGTGAGTGTGAGTGTGAGTGTGAGTGTGAGTGTGAGTGTGAGTGTGAGTGTGTGTGTGTGTGCTCAGGCTGAGTTCAGGTGAGTTTCGCGGTGTCTTGCTGTCTCGCAGACCCTACGCAGCAACCAGGAAACGACCCCAGTAATCCAGCTCACACTGTCCGCAGCAGCGAGCCCCGCAACGTCCCGCCATCACGGCACCCACACCCCACGCAGCATTCTCATCTGTTTGTCATTACTGGTGTCATTTTCTGGTTGCTAACGCCATTGTAACACATAATCACTGATGTTCCGCTGTAACGGTGGTGGACTCATCAGAACAGAGTGGGCGAGCTGACCAATCAGAGCACAGTGGGCTCATAGGGAGGGGGGGGCAGGAGCTCCAACAAGCCGTTTAGGACAGAGAGTGAATACACATACTATACAGAGATGCTGTATGAGAAGCCAATGTGAGTTTGGAACATTGAACAATGTAAATCTATTCTAGTAGACCTCAACAATGGAATTATGATCAGTAGAAATGGCCATGACATGGGACCTTTAACTCAGTCTTTGATCTTTACCAACTCCTGATGGAAATATCTGTCCTTTAACGTTGCTAAAGGCTCCACTATGTTTACCAGCTGTCCGTACACAATTTGAGACCAGCTAGTAAACATAGTGGAGATAGAGATAGTGATAGTGAGATTTTTTCAGCCGCCAACTGCATCCAGAAATATATTTTAATAAAGCGGTGTGAGTGAACCAATCCAGCAAGATTAGAGCCGGACAGCTAGACAATGAGAAAGCCTACCTGAAAAAGATGTTGGCCATGCAGGTAAGAGCAACACGGCGTAACTCCATATTTGTCTGGGATGGAGAACTATACAGCAGTAGGACTCCATCTTCACCCAGCAAGTCACTGAGGTGCTATAAATGACAATCATTTCAAGGTTAATATTAGGCAATTATCATTCATTAAAATACCCTTTGACAAAGCTTGTATAAATATCTACCTGTTGGCACTGAGGTCCGTTTCCATACACTATTGTGGAGAGTGCAAGGAGGACATCAGAGTGTGTCCATGTACTGCACACCTTCAGTGCATTAATGGTGTAGTTTACCAACACGTTCAACGTTCGCTCGTCCATTATTACCTTAAATAAACAGTGAGAAGAGAAGGTAGGACAAAGAAGTACAGTATATTTCAGGTGATTACATAGAGAGGAATAAGGTCTACTGTTAATTAAGGCTAGTTGTTACCTTTAGCTGATTGAGCAGATGATGTACCAGTTGGCAGAGTTTGACGACTAAATGTTCTTGACTCAGCGGCACAAGACCGCTGACATGTTTCAGCAGATTGCACACGTCCTGAAATGGGAAATAAGAGGCTCATCACAACCGAGAAGGTCTTTAACAGCAAAGAAACAAATAATCCTGATTAACACATGTTCATTTTGTACTTAGGTAGAAATTTGATACAAACATCTTTATAATAACATTCAGGTGGCAGAAAACTAGTTATAGTATTACAACGCTATTCCAGTGGGACATGGCAAATGGAACAGATCAAATATCTCTCCAAGTTGTGCTGGCATTATTAGTATTATTTTGGTGATGTAGTGAGAAATAAATGTTTCCCATTATGTTTTGTAAGGTTGCCAAGGTGGTTGCTAGGGTGTATGGCGTTGACAGGGTGATACTGGTCGGTTCCTAGGGAGCTGTGGTGTAAAGTAATCAAGTTAATTTACTATTACTGTACTTAAGTACAATTTCGAGATGCTTGTACTTTACTTGAGTAAGTATGTTTTTGAGTACAAAAAACATATAATATATGATTCCAAAATGGGACAATGTGCATAATGATTACTTTTACTTTTGGTCCTTTAAGTATATGTAGATGCGAATGTGCTTTTACTTTAGTAACATTTTAAATTCAGGACTTTTTCTTGTAACAAAGTATTCCTACATTCTGGTACTTTTACTTAAGTACAAGATCTGAGGATTCTCCCACCTCTGCTCGGGAGTGCCTCCTACTTTCCTATCGAAAGAATGGCTACCTAAGTTGCAATAGTTGGACGTTTCCAGTATCCCACGAAAGTTGAGGCACACTAGGAGCAAAGTGAGTAAGAGTTACCTCTGGTGGGATGTTGATAGTGGGGTCGAAGGTTTTGTTGTAGTTTTCGGACAGCAGCTGGTCGAACAGCAAGTTGAGCTCATCTTTTAGATTGCCTGATTCTGCTCGTAGGGCTCGGAGCTTTGCTGCGCAGCGGGAAAACTGCTTCTCCACGTCGGCCGAGGAGCCGAGCCGCCAGCCGTTGGTACCCAGCGGCGTGAACGGGGCGGCCTCCGCGGACAGAGCCACCGGGGGGAAGTCAGGGACATCACTGCGACTCATGAGGGATGCTGGTGCAGCTAAAGACTCACTCTGAGCCGCCATTTTTTTTGATCGCGGAAATGATGTGACGACTGACGACCAGGTTTGCTACGTACGGCAACCCAAGTAGGACAGTTGACATCGTTTTAATGAAAAAATGTTTATGTCATTTCCCTTTTTCCAGGAATCTCAACAGAGAAAGTTTGGCCAGACTAATACATTTCTAATGTTAAATAAAATGAAAGACATTCACAGTTAAGAATTAGATATGAATTATGAATGCCATTATTGCATACATTTACAGTAAATATGTCTCCAGTATGATAGCTGTCAAATAGAAGTTAAATCAATTCCTCATTTATTCTAAGAATTAATTTAACCCACTAAAAGGAGTCAAATAATCGTGAAATTAAGTTGTTTCTTTACGAAACGTTGCCGTATCAAATGTCTTACTTGGGTTGCCGTACGTAGCTGTCCTGCGCAATGCAAATCGGGTTGAAAGCATCACACACTACTACTACACTACTAAATTAAGATGAACTACCGTTATGTAATGTCTTTAACGACTGCCTATTGTACATATATCAGAATGAGAATCAGAATCAGTTTCATTACCAAGTAGGTTTACACGTACGAGGAATGAATTGCTTTGGAAATAGTGGTGGATACAGAGACACAGAAATAAAAATACGTAGCAAAAAATATACCGTCATAAAAGCTATTTTAAAAAGCGATATATATACGTATTGTTTTTAAATGGCACATTAGTGGGAATTGGAAACCTGTGGTTCAATATTACTGAGTTGAGTTAAGTAATGTAATTATGTATTCCCGTTATGCAACTTTTACTCCACAAAATGTGTCTCACAGCTCTAATTTCAAATGATAATTTCCCCCCCAGTGAAAATTAAGCATCTCCACACTTTATGTTGAATTTTTTTGATCAACTGAATGAAGTGTTCATTTGTGTTCTGAAATTTCAACAAAACCCTTTTGTTTCAGCCTGAAAATGCTTAGTAACAAAGATAAAAACAGGACCGCTTAATCAGAGCCCATGACAAGTTGACTTAGACATAAGTGCTGCTCACAGGACAGTGATACATTATAGTATTTAAAGGCACAACACTAAATAACTTTTTTCTTTGACCAATACTGGAAACTCGCAGTAGCATTAGTCAGAGCTGTTTAGTAAATAAACAACTACAGAAACAATATATGCAATAAGCATGATTTATTCTTCTTTCATTGCAGTTAAGGTAGTTTAAGCTATCATATTCACTGCAGATATCAGATAAATGTAAGAGTCAAGAGTACACACTTTAAAATGTATACATCAAGGCATCTGTAAACTGTTCAACAGGAATTTGTAAGTCCCAATGTTAAGTTAAAGAAAATCTGCATTGTTTGTACTGCCGAGACAAAAGTGAGTCATGGTTCACAATATTGTGATCAGGTTCGACCTTAGTTAATGCAAGTGAGGCAAATTCAAGGCACGCATAGACAGAATACACATTTTGAACCAATTTACTGTTTCAAAGTTGCTTTGTGCTCAACTTGTTGAACATATCACAATACCAGACTGCACACTAAATTACATTCCAGAGATATACAGCACTAACATTGTAAAGATTCACAACTGAAGTGGAAAGAGGAATGTTCAAGCATGTACAAAACCTTAAATCTCTTGGCATGTAGTTTTCTTTATTATTAGTAAGCAACAGTCTTGGAATTTATATTCAACCTCAGCCAATACTGAAAATTAAAGTAATTTCAACAAAAACTCTGTTGCTCTTTTTAATTCCATGAAAAATAAGTTATTTTACAACATATCCATACGAAACAATGTACAAAAAATCTGCGCATCAATGCACAGCAAAAATAATAAGCGGAAATTATGAGTCATGATTCAGTCAGATGTGAAAATGCTGACCGAGTGCTGGAATGGAAAGTAGTTTTAAATTGGCATTTTCTATGAACGACACTTCACCAGTCCAGGCATGACTTAAGCGCCATCCACCTATGGTGGTAGTGTTGTAGGTGGCAAACTATAACAGACTGAAGTAAGCAGGAAACCAGGAGGTAGGCATGTCTGTGAATGTACAGCATTGCACAGAACTAGTAAGGGCTGAATTAAAAAGTAGTTTTCGAAGGGGGCATGTTTGAATTTCAGCCTGACTTGAACAGTAGTATAGCCACTTGGCCCAGGTAGAAGTAAATGAAATGCTTGGTCTCGTGCGTCACGTAGCTGCCAAAGTTCCTCCCAACAATGCAATGCCATGTGGGGTTGTACTTCTTGTCAAACTCCTGCAGGGGGGACAATGACAATTAGTATATCAAAGATGAAAGGCCATTCCCAACCAGTTTCAATAAATGTTTGTATTACTCATTTGATATTGATCCAAGTTACCTTTTTGACATAAGCAGCAATATCCTTCTCAATGTTGTACTTTTCCATAGCCTGCATGGCACAGTCCACTGCATCCTGCTGCATTTCATCAGGCATGTCCGCATTCTTTATCACTGCCTTTTTGTCAGACATTTTGGCTTTTTGGCTGCAAAAGAGGAAAAAAAAATTAAGTTGAGACATTTTTCACATACTTTCACTCGTTCAAGTGCAAACAGTGAGCCTTGTTGTTTCCTATACATCAGAGCTAACACTCACTAGCTATAAAATCCCATTTACATTGGATAATTGCCAGTCTCATCTTAACTCTTAATTTTACAAACCAATAAACTGGATAGGTAGATAACTGGAGGAAGAATCTTGATCCCCAAACTCAAGAGTTGTTCTGGATCATTCTTAGAGCCGTTATAGACACTTCAGAAAATTGAGTTTGTGGGACACACCAGGGTTTCTGCTTGCACATATCAGAGAGCAATAAAAACAGTAGATGCTGACATGATATTCATACATATCTGCACCTGGACTGTACAGCTGAAAGCATTACAACTTTGATTACATTCCGTTTGAGAATCAACCTTTCAAAACACTACTACCTGCTTCAAATATAAAAAAATATCCATCTATAAAACAACTCAAATTGTAAGATTTGCAAACAACAATTCAAAGAAGGTGGTAGGAGCTTTCAGATACAGGTTCTCAGGACAAACCAAGAGGAGGCTCAGGCGAGATTAGCATGCTATCAAGAGAAAGCTCAGTCCTCTCCCCTCTGAGGGCACAGGTTTTAATAACAATACACACAGCGAAGCGTCCTCTTACACATGCAGCTATTCTTACCGTCTCTCGGCGAAGGTAAATTGTTTGTTGTACGTTTAGGGTAGCTGCACTGTTTTTCGTTCATTTATGCAAAGAAAGCATGCGTATCTGCCCCGCCCTTCAGGACGCATCTGCTTTCTGATTGGTTGCAGGAAAGCCTCCACCCTGGTCACGGCGTTTTTCACTTGCGGACAGTGCCCGCATTTTGTTTCCACCCAGAATGCATTGTGTTCAACCCTTCAACCCCCATCCCCTGGGGAAAGGGATTGATCCAATCAGGTTCATCGATATCGTTCTGCATAATTTGGATACCTTGCATTAAACCGGCATTTATCTCTTAGGCCCAAAAAGGGAGGTTATTGTTAATGTATTAATCCCGGGCCAGTTAAAAATAGACCCTAAAGCATATACTACAAAAATAACATTAAACAAATGTATTACACATGGTGGCACTGTGCCTCTCATTAATTCATTTTATTTAGTTGTTAAATGAGAATCCATTCCCAAATGCCAAATAAAGACCTAAACATTTAGGTAATTCACCTAGCTTTAAAAATCAAAAGAGAACATTTAGTAGTTGTTATAAAATACATGGAATTTCCACTTTCTGCACGATGATGACATTATGAACATCAATTTCTGCTTTCCTGGAGCCGAGCCAACGCGGCCCTAACCCTAACCCACTTCAAGCAAACATAACCCTACTCCAGTCTTTTGGATAGATATAAAGACAAGTCCAATTGCATGTTATGTTTTTACTGGTTTGGTTTAAGCACACAATGTATTGCTAAAATTCTTCACAAAGTAACATTTTTATTGTACTTAAGGTAAATCGTTTCCAAGGACTTCTGCATGTCAATGTTAAGGAAACAGTGCACTTGTGTTTGCTTAAGTTACCGATTGCGTTTCATATTCTGTATATAATATATTTATAAATACATGACCAATGAAGGCTAATCGGGGGGGTTCAAGACTACACATATTTTATTGTGTTGTGCTAATTAATAAAGATGGACAGAAAAGGCACTCTAAAACAATTTCCAGTCATCAGGTTTTCATGGAACTGGAATTAAAATAGAGCAGTGGGCAAATGTTCATTCAGTATTTTGTATAGATGTACTGGGAAAGAACAACACACAAACACTTGTCTTCCGTTATTGAAAGTTTTATTAAAAGAGAATAAAGCTTTAGGATACTGGAGATTTATACTTCAGAAATTCAGAAATCATCTGCAGCATAACACTGACCTAAGAAAAAGATACAAACCACATTAAGGTCACATTCCCTTGTCGCGTCCCAGTCCTCCCTCTTCCCTCCCTCCTCCGCTGTTAATGGTAGCCCTCTATTTACCACTCTCCTTAAGCGTGCGGTTCCATCCTGCACCTCCCAGCCCTCCTCCTGGTTTTGAGCTGTGCTCTGCTCTTCTTTAAAATAATTTTTGAAAAACAAAAATCTGAAAAATGAATCACTCGTCACAGTGGCGCCAGTAATTGTGTCTCCGAGGTCCCAGCCAAAATGGAAAAAAAATATTTGTTTTATTTAAAAGCCAATTTGGTTTGAATTTTTCCCTATTTCCAGTTTGATGGGGTTATGTGGACAGGGCCGGGGGTCAGGATCCTCTCCCGGTAAAATGCTCCCATGCTCCTGATCCATGTATCCATCCTGAAGCCTAATCCTAATCCTGATCTGATCCTGAATCCTGATCCGGCTCCGGAATGGGGGGGCAATGAGCCCAGTCCAAACCTTCAGAATACCAGCAGAACCAAAGAGAAGGAGGTAAGTTAGAATCACACCTTCAGAAAATGCCAAGACAAAATGTCAATAAATGCATCTACCAGGGAATTTACTTTGAGAAAAACAGGGAACACCCCTCTATTATCAGTCCCAAAAACACTAATATTTACTTTGGAGGCTATGAGTCAGGCAAAAGCAAAAAGCAAAACACAAGCGTTGGGTCTCCAAATACAAAGTGGTATACAGAACGTGTTACAACTGAAAACATTCAACAACGGCACTATTGTCAAGTGTGTGTAAAAAAACTGAACAGCCTTATAATGCAGATTTCACAGTTGACAAGGCACAGCCATCATACCATTGGTGCCATATTTGACTCCTCCTCCTCCTGTTAATCCTAAAATGAACTGTTTCCTCTGTTCCCATCCTATCCTGTTCCTCTGAACTCTACAGAGAGACACACAATAGGGTCAAAGGACAGTAGTATATGCTTAAAAGAAGTAAAAATATTTCCAAAGGAAACACAACAAAGTGTAAGAGGACAAGTAGAAGACATATCACAGAAACAGGTGAGAGATGGTTAGCAGAAAAAATGAAAGGGGGGACAGAAAGAACGACAGAGTGAAACAGCCGTGTACAAAAATTAAAACTAAAAAAAGAAAACTGCAACAAAAATTGGGGGGGATAGGGAACACACGAGAAGACAGTGTATGAGATGATCCGTGAGGAGTATACGAGATTTGTTTTGTGACTTGAAGATTTCCTCCTGCGGCTCTGGGCACACCATTACTTCAGTTAGGGTGGACCTAGGTGCGGGAGCGGGAACGACGAGGGGAGTGGCGAGGGGAATGACGAGGGGAGTAACGGGGCGATCCTCTGCTGCGACGGGACCCGCTCTTGCTTCGGCTACGACTGCGGCTACGAGAGCGGCTACGAGAGCGAGAACGACCATAGCTGGGGCTGCGTGGACCGTCCACCTTCACACGGATGTAGGCAGTCTCTCCCTAAACACACACACATAAATAAGCATACTTTAGCATGTGGAAGTTGATACATGAGACTCCGGTAAATGAGATAGGGGGGAAAAACCTGCAGTCATAATACATTCTTTACATATTAATGAAGTTGCAGAAGTAACACATGAACCAGTGCCTTGATGCATACATTTTGGAAGTTAATCAGCTACACCAATACCCAAATCAGACATCATCTTCAAGACTAACTTGAGTAACTTGTGTAGTTCACCATTTTCTTAGCAAAATATATCGATGTATGTTTGGCCAAACTTGAATCTGAAAAATAAGCCAACAATTTGATGTCCCGGTCCATACTTACGGTACTTTTTTTTTTTTACTGAAAAAATAAAAACAATTATAAAATGTAGTCCCGGGACATTTGTACATTTTATTACCGATAACCTTGACATACCTCATGAGAACGAAACTTGGTGTTATCCAAATGACGGACAGCGTAGCTCATGTCTTCTTTGCGCACAAACTCCACTACCCCGGTGCCATCACGGTACACATCAGCATAACATACATCACCTGCCTCCCGCATGTGATCCTTCAGGTCCTGCCAGCTTCCACTGGTAGGAAGACCTGAAAAGGAAATATGGTTTTAGGTATAGGCAAATACACTTAAGTTAAGAGATACACAACCTGCAGAGTGAGGATAACATCACATACCTGACACAAGAACCCTGTACTCCGAGCGTCGGGAAGGAGGACCATGGTTTCGTCTCTGGCCTCCCATAGGTCCACCATCACCTCCACCTCCTCCTCCTCCACCACCACCACCACCACCACGACCGCCGCCACCTCCTCCTCCTCCTCCCCCTCCCCGTCCACTTCTAGGAAACTCAACACGCAGGCGGTAGCCATCGTAGTCATATCCATCACGTCCGTACACAGCATCCTCAGAATCCCTTTGAAATCCAACAGTTACCAATCATCAAACATTTAAATCAGCTTAATAGACGCACAACGTCACCACTAAAGTTAAAAACTGGCCTATACGGATGAAATGCGGAAGAAAAATGTTTCTTAATGAACTTTGTACATGTCCTGAGAAAGGAAATCTAAATTGAAAATGTAATGTAAATGCGTTTAACGGATTTCAGTTCAAATGGTTTCAATCCTTTGTTCTATAAATCATTGGATAATAGTGATAATTTCCCCTTAGGGTTTCCTAGAGCCAAAAGGTACTAAAAGGACATCACAAGTCTTGTTTGTCATGTTAAATATACTATAATGTGATAGAAGTAAATCAGCTAATGCCTTCAGCCTGGAACAAAAGTGATATACTTAGACTAAATACTTGATTAATTATTCAGATGATAAGGTAATCCTCCATAGTTGGAGCTAAAATTATATTATCAGTGTACAAGTGGCTTTAGGAGGTGGTTTATCAGGTTTTAGTTAGCACAGCAAACATCTTTGGAAAAAAGGTTCCGGTGCAAATAACCCAAACTGCACTTAGGCTAGATGTACATAGAGAGGCGAAGTCCCTCCCCTTCCGATGGGACTCATGGGACCTTATTTCGGAAAAAGTTTGTATTTAAGTCAATGGACAGAGAAAGATTATCTTTCGATCCCGTTTGAATTGTGCCACGAATTACAGATGTTTGTCAATCTTAAATAATAATTTCCATGTCAAAAAAGTCAGTTTGTCGTAAAACTGTTGAAATATAAGACTATGAAAAATACGCAACTAGAAAGACTACAAATCCCAGCTCTTACGGAACCGACTAACTCCCCTTTTGTGTATGTACAGCTCTCAACATGCAGACCTGTAGTGATTTTCACCTCGTTTAATACTTTTCGCCTCATTCTGAAAGAAAGAAGTGAAATGTGCCAACGTGACGGCCGTCTTGGTGTGTGGTGCGAGACGGGAGATGTAGTTCATTGAGCAGTTTCACACAAAAAATGTGTTACTTCACAGTTTTACGACACATTTATATTTTTTGACTTGTAAAAGTATCTTTTAAATTGACAAACATCATATGTGTAATTCGTGGCACAATTCAAACGGGATCGAAAGATAATCTTTCTCTCTCCATTGACTTCAATGCATAACTTTTCCGAAATAAGGTCCCATGGAGCTCAACCGGAAGGGGAGGGACTTCGCCTCTATTGTGGAACCTTTACACAACTACATGCAGGCTGATTGCAGAAAACACCATTTCCATTCACCTTAAAGTTTAAAATGCAGGCTCATGAAACACTATACAATTCACCACAATAAAATTCCTGTACCTATACCTGGAAATATATTTTTATTTGTTGTATTATTTGTTACCTTAGCGACCCGACTTCGAATAGGCGGTAGAAGATGGATGGATTATTTTCTTGAAAGATTATGGGAGTGGGAGGGCCAAGCCTGGCTACATTTGCATCTTATTTCATTACATTACATGTTACTTGTTAGACGCTTTTATCCAAAGCGACTTACATACTCAATACTGTGGGCAATCCCCACAGGATCAATTTGGGGTGAAGTGTCTTGCCCAGGGACACAACGACATGCTGACTGCAGTGGGGTTTGAACCTGTGCTCCCCTGATTCGAACACCAACGCACTAGTCCACTGCAACACCTTCGTAACATTTTATCCCCGGTTACACCTAACATTATATCTAAAACTAAATGCAGTCTAAATACAGCTCTCGATGAGGGCAGACTTAATATTAAAAACTCCTTCCGCTATAATGGAATATACCCCGTTAAGTCAATAAATAGCCCTACAAAAATACTCTTTCTAAATGTACAGAGTAGTTTTATTTCAGGCTATTCCTTGTGTATTTATGACTATGTAGGCCCACGAGCTTAGAAAACACGTTTGGATGCAAGCTAATTGAATGGAGGACATTGCGTAAAAGACGTGGCGGGAGAATGAAGCTCACCTCGCGTCCTCAAACTGCACGAAGGCAAACGGCGGTCCTCCTCTCCGGTTTTTCAGATCGATATCACGAATGGCTCCATATTTGTAAAACAAGTCTTCGACGTCCTTTGACCGTATGTCGGGGGGGAGATTCCCAACGTATATCCGACAGTCGTTGCTCCCTGCAGGTCCTCTAACGATTCCTCCGCCAGACATGTTAGCACAAAGCTAGCTAACAATAACAGTTAGCTAAGGAAGTTAGCAAGAAGGCTAAACGGGACCCCGTGAGCCGAACAAACGATAAAATCACGCTTTAGGGGTAAGCTTGGTAAAATATACTGCCGGTAAATTGCTCGTAAACGAACAAACCTAACGTTACAGCTGAGTTCTGCAGTGTGAATGTGAACAAAATCAAACTAACATGAGCTAAAAGTTGTAAGCCGCGTCTCAACCCTCCTCCAACAAAGCCCTCTTCTTCAGTGGTGAGACGGATCACACTTTAAATGTAGGTATATCGCCGCCTGGCGCCCTGGAGGGTCACATGCTGTTTACAAGTCCTTCAAAATAAAAAACGAAATTAACAAAACAATCTAATCTTAATGTCCATTCAGGAGCTTTTATTACGCAGAATATTTAATAAGTCCCACAGGTACGATTGAACAGTTTGAGGAGCTATTGTTTTCTTCAGTTTATCAAACTACTTCAGAGTTTGGTTCCAAGCAGGCATTAGTGAAACTGGGTTGAAAACTGAATGTAAAAACACTTTTTGTTAGACACTTAGGATAAAACTATTTTATTTTATATATTATGTGCATGCCCTCTATCCAATAGTGTTTGTTTTTTTAGGTCCCTATCCTCACTTTTGCTGTAATGTACATTTTCCCTTCCCCTGTGAGACGAATAAAGGTGTTCTGATTTAATGGTTTCAGCCATATCAATGCATTGTAATGTAATGGTTACACTGCCTCAACTTTTCACAATGTGTGATGTTTAATACTGTGCTCATTCAACTACTATATCCATTCTATTTACAAATTGAATGTAGTAGGGGATTACAATTCACTACAATATAATACAAAAATGAATTGATATGATCAAAAACAGCTACCAAATGGATGCATTGAGGATGCAAATTAAGCCACATTCACGATTGGCCAGAGATCCAGGTATAGTAAACATGCCCGGAAACTGGCCATGTAAAAAGAAAACAGTCAGGGATTTAGTTTATGTAGCAAGAAAAAACGTTCTAAAATCACCTAAGTACAAGTAACACAACTCAGGTGATATAAACAGTGAATTGCTTTGTACACTCCAGAAAAAGAAAAAAAAATATGAATTGAACAATGCTCAACTTATGTAGTAATGATATAAATTCAGATAATTCAGATATTTCAGTTTTTGAGCTAACAAAAGAGCAACAACATGAGTTACAACTTAAATCTTTATTTGTTAATAACTTAGAATAAACAGTGGAATTCAAATATAAAAAACATTTTCAACAATTCAAGCTTCCCAGTATACAGTGTCACACAAACATGGCAGCCAATCATTAATATTACATACTGGTTTTGTACATTCCACACCCCAATTCTGTAAAGAGTCTTTCTTCATGCAAACCTTTGTACCTAAATGTGATGTCCCTCGACAAAATGATCATTCTTAACATGTTTTTTCTTCACATGTTCATCACAAGTGTTTCTCAGTCCTTCTTGGCTTGTCTCTCTTTGCGTCTCTGTCTAGCATCAGAGATTATTTTGAGCAGTGACAGCAGGATTGGCACACACATGGGCAGGAAGAGAGGTATGTAGATAGCAAACTTCTGGTCGTCAGGAAAGTAGAGGAGGTGGAGCAGCGACGGATCAAAGAATGCCCGCTCTGATGCCAAGATGGCCTCTTTACTGTACTGCAGAGCAAAGCCCAGGTTCCCGGCCTCCAGCTCAGCCACAGCCAGCTGCAGAGACGTGACGGCACTCGACACCTGAGGAACGGCAACAACAATCAAGAGGTTGGATACAACTCATGCAATAATAGTAAAAAAGAAAGGTATAATTAACAAGCTCTTTTTGAGTCTTGATACAAAATTAGAGATACAAGAATAAGTGAAATTAATAGAAACACACAATCATAAAACACTAAATTAAAGCCAGATTTAATAGATGTTTTTTTTGGGTTAGTTTAAAATTATTTATAATTTCAGCTCCTCTGGAGGTACAGTGATTCAGAGGTCTGGAACCAGGCTGGTCAAACACTATTTTAGGGCTCATACTGTCCGTCCAAGAATTGGGCCCAGCATGTCCAGATAGGTAAACCTACATATGTAGCCACAAAAAGGCAGCATAAAAATCTACTGATTGGTGCAGTTTACCTGTTCAGCAATGTTGTCATTGATAACAATGTTGCCTATCTGGTCCAGGAGCTGTGCCAGTGAGGTGATGGTGGTGGCTGCTGTCGCCACATTTTCCACACTCCGACTCCACATGAGGCGGTCCAGCTCCCAATCAGCTAGACCTGTGCTGCTGCACGGAGCCACCAGGAAGCCAGGCGGAGCGGTAGACGACTGCACACCCAGCAACAGTCTAACAGGACAAGATGGTATTCAGGAAAGTTACCTTGTGTCTACAGGAAAAGCATCATCTGTCATTTTGTAGCCGTCAAATTACCTCAGCTGTGCAAGGAAGACTCCCATGACTTTGGCCATGTCGATGTTGATGTCAACAGGGAACACAGCCTCTGGTCCGTAGACACTATTAACATTATAAACCTATGAAAACATAGATGAGAGGTTTTGTTTAATCAGTAAGATAAGATAAGATAGGACTTTATTTATCAAGAAGGAAATTGTTGTGCCGGAGTCGCAAAAATACAATACAACCAGCAGCATAATAATACAACTGTACACTAACAGTGCAGTAAAAAGAGCAATTAAATATCTACAGGAAACATAGATGGTCACATAATTAATGTAAATATTAACAGTATTTAGTGGTGCAAAAAACGTAGTGGCAGATCCATAATTGCACGTTATTATTGCCCATCAAACTAATTATATAAGCTATAACCATTCACAGGATTAATACTACTGTCACGTAGTTTTGCCCCTTAGATTACCTTACCATAATTCCACCCCAACGTGGAGAGTGAAACGCGTTAGAAGGCACTTTCTGTTTCTGGCAGTCTTGAATGTAAAGGGGGGAATGCTGGGCATCCGGGGCGTACAGAAGAAAATTCAACACCGGGTTTGAAGATGCAGCATTTGAGCCTTATTATAAAAAAAATAAAAAAACCTGTTATATATTGTATTAATACACCACATTTCTTTTTTTGGCAAACATTTGGAAAACTTAGTGTGTGTGTTTCATTTACCCAGTCTAGCCTCCACAGGGTTGATGACATGAGCCAGGCTGTCAGAGTTGAGTGTGTAGGCGTTGCGGCTGCTGTCAAATCGTGGGTTGACACCGAGCATGGCATAGTATAATGTCTGTAAAAGACAAATATGTTTATGAACATACAGTAGCTGAGCAGTGTGTCATTGTGCACATTCACACACTTGCCCAAAAAGTACCTGAGAGTCAATGCTAAAATTGGCCACAGGGGCCAGTTTTGTGAGCAGAGGTTGGATGTAGGTCTGCACGGCCCCCTCTATGTCCCAGTGTAGCCGGTGTGACTTTGGGTCTGGGTTCAACAGACTGAAGGTTATCTCATAACCTAAAGATGAAATGGAGACCAGTGTTTAGGTAATTGAGTTATAAACTGACTGGAAAAATACATAGTTGGTTCACTTTATGGCTGTGCTTAAACAACACCAACCTGGGCTGGATTTAAAGGCCCTCATGCTGTCAGCGATGCTCTCTTTGTTGCCAGGGCTGAGACGGACTCTGCCGCTGAGGGCCGCGGTGATGTCCGTGTGGCTAAAAGACATCACCTTCAGCACCTGCCTTATCCGTGGCTCCAGGTGAGCCAGCAATTGCTCTATCGTCCTTCCCACTCTCATCTGGGCACCGTTACGCAGCAGGGCTGTCCGTCTCTGACCAATATACACGTCCACATCCTGAGAGGCATGGGGGTACAGATCATGTGGGTATTTTAGTTTATATTCTACTAATCCAGAGGGACAAAAAGGATTCATAAATATGTGAAAAGCTGTACAGTAGGTACTGTATTTAGGAGTTAGACTCTAAGCAGCAATGGCTAGATGATAGATAAAAAAAGGCTACTTGACTACACAGTGATTCATTACCTCAGAAAAGCTTATTTCACCTTTTATCAAAGCATAAAACTACACACAGAGTTTAATTAAACACACACACAGATAAAAACTAAGGGAATTAAGAATAGGAAAGGGCCAAACAGTCCTCTTTAAAACCAAACACATGAAGAAAAAGAAAGAGAAGTAAATGTAAAAGATGCGAGTTAAACCTCAGGCAGCAGTGAAGATGATTCTGGGATCACGTACACAACCAAAGAGCCACACAGGCTCTCACTGAGGGTGTGCAGAGAAAGATCTGCGTCTAAAGAAGAAGAACAAATGAGACAGAGAGAAATTACAACCTGTGCTATCACACTGAGATACCAACTATCTGTCAGCTAGATTTGAAAGGCAGGCAGCTTCTCACCTGCAGCAGAGGACTGGTTCAGTGCATCCTCCTCCATGATATTAGCTGTGCGGTACTTTGTCTCATACCTGTACCGCAAAGCTGTGTCCTCTGTAAACAGAAGACAATAAGTGCTTTAGAGTCTTCTTATTTTTAACCACAAGATCACAGCCAGCATTGATGAATAACACACCATCCACTGTGTGTTCTTCATCCTGTGTCTTTGTCAGCGGGACCTTCTTCTGCTGCTCAGGCGTCACCGTTCCACGTGCAAACACAACCTCCACATCAGCACTCAACTGTAGCTATAATAAACAAAGAAACACAGACAAAGATTGTAAAAAGGTACTCATGTATTACACATGCAAGATAATATGGCTAACAAGACGGAAGACATGTAGTTAATAGCAAGAAGCGTAATCAAACCTGCAGATTGGCCAACTCATTTATCTGACTGACAGGCAACCAGGCGCGGTAAGTTTCAGTTGTTCTCCACCACAGAGGGGCTCCCACGATGATGACCACCGCTGCTATGGACAGAGAGGCCAGCTGGCCACGTCTACGCTCTGAAAGAAATACATGAACATTAAGCCAAATAACCTTTACGGTATTACTGTTTATATAAAGACATACATGCAGATATTTGTAAACTGTCAGAGAGTTTATGTTGTTTATACTGTGGATGTATCCTTGTATTATCTCTGGTTGTGTACAGTGAGAGCCACTGTGGGCAATATTGCAAATCAATTCAAAATAATGTTTCATGGCAATGATGGATTTTCACATATTTTTTGCATCAATGTGACACATATCTTGATTTGTCTATAGATTAACCAAGGATACAGATTCCTGTCATATTTTACACATTTCCAGTCTATAAAAAGGAGTTTTTTGTATTGTGTCCCTCTCATGAATAATAAGAAGTAAACATGTACATTGTAAGAGAGAACATGAAGGGGGCAACACAGTTAATGGTTTCAAGACCTGGTTAGTTTTAAATAGGAAACAATAGGAAATATATTAAGGGGAAACTTAAGACTCGAATATTGTAAATCATTCGGACCTAACACGTTAATAATGAATTAAGACATATATTAGGAAGGGCAGCATTGCTTCAGCTACTGGTGCGTCTAGCTAAGCTAGCTGTTAGCTTTAGAGGGGCTTTACATGGAGAAAACAGTCTGTACAAGGGTCCCTTTAACTGCTAAATACGTGTTAAATATACCCTAACAAACTGCTGTAAGGTTATGTTAATGCTGCCTTTGAGTATGAAATAAATAACCCAAACAGCATTCAGGTTTTGAGCTACTCACCCACTTCCGTGGTAGCCATGTCTGTCTATGAAGTGAGAAGGGTGCGTTTGTTATCAGGAAGCACCCAGTCAAACGTCATGTGACCAACATTGAGAACTAGACGGGCGGTTATGTGTTAGTCGTGAACCAGATACCCGTCTACAATTTCCTTAAATGTAACCAAATATTGGAATATACAGCTATTTGTATGTCTTCCCCAGACGCCGATAAGGTAGTAGGATTGTTTAAGACGCAAGAGGTTAAGAGGTTCAGTTACCGTCGGCGCCACCGGTGAAGATATTAAACACACAACACAGTGTGAGAAGTTGACAACAGCGCCTCTTGCGGGGTTAGTGCTAGATCGCATGCTAGATCGGAAGTGACGTAATCGTGGATGAGAAGTCGGCCACTTTTGCAGCAACTGACTGCACATCTGGTAGTAAAAGTAGAGTAAAGGGGGGGGGCAGGAGCTCCAACAAGCCGTTTAGGACAGAGAGTGAATACACATACTATACAGAGATGCTGTATGAGAAACCAATGTGATTTTGGAAAATTGCACAATATAAATCTATTCTAGTAGACCTCAATGGAATTATGATCAGTAGAAATGGCCATGACATGGGACCTTTAACCTCACTCAACACTTACAACTGTTTAACTGTTTAAACTTCTATAGAACTAAAATAAAGATCATTAGTCGAACATTTCTTCAAAAGAACTGAGATAAAAGAACAGAGTAACAGAACATATAAAGTATGTGAAGATGAACCTTTATTAATGAAACTCTGATTAATACACCGTACCAGTACAAACACACACATAGGCATGCAGATATGCACAAACACATGCATTTTTAGAGGTGCCAGTTGCAAGTGAGCAGTTCAGTGCCTTCCTCAGAGCCCAGGACGTGAACAAGTCCCTACAGACTTTAGAGTAGTTACTGTCACTACTGTATTGAGATGAAACCAATCTGTAAATCAAATGTTACTCTACTACATGTAACTAGTTACTCCCCATGTGTGTCTTCTGCAAACACTGCCTGAAACTCATCCAGAGGGAGATGGAACAATACAGAGAGGTAACAATAAGCCTCATCAACTGAAGTTACCTTTCTTTTCTTCAGAGTAATGTACCATTTAGGAACTGGATTCCCATGAGGCAGCAGATGTGTTTACTTGTCTACCCAGAGCTTCTTATTATACATCCATGACCTAGAGTGATCAGAGCCGAAGTCCCTCCCTTTCCGGTGGACCTCGGAAAAATTATGTATTGAAGTCAGTCTATGATTGAAGTCAATGGCGAGAGAATAATTATATTTCGATCCCGTTTGAATTGTGCCACGAATTACACATATGATGTTTGTCAATTTAAAAGATAATTTTACAAGTTAAATTTGCCGTAAAACTGTGAAGTAACACTTTTTTTTGTGTGAAACCGCTCAATGAACTACATCTCTGGTCTTGCACAACACACGTCACCAACACCAAGATGGCCGTCACTACTGTCTTGCCAAAAAACCAAGGTGGTGCAGTGCAAGTGAAATGTTTTGTAATGCACGAGTCAACACGTTCCATGCTCACTTGAGAAATCTGATGTACAAATTCATCTGTCGATTGAAAGTTTCTCATAACTCTGTCATTATGCTGCTTTCAAATCCGTGTCTCAGTGCTGTACGATACCAGTCACCTCTGTGGAAACATTGGTATAACTGTCTTTTTTTATTTATATTTGAGTGGTGTAGCCTATGTATTTTTTTTTTAAATGGACCAAGAGTCTCTTTAAATAAAGCTGATGATGTAGATTCGGTGATCTTAACATTCAGCCTAGAGAATGAACATAGCCTCTCTCTTTCGCAGCAACACATATTCAACTCATTTTCAGGATATTTATTTGCTTTTAGCTGACTCAGGACACACACACACATGATGCCTGCTGAAGGTTGTTCCCTCGATATGCTCACAAAGTCAGTTTTTCTTCGATCTTCTCACCTTCTCATCTGAAACTCAAACATAGCGCCACATCTGCATAACGAAGGGTGTAACATGTCTCATTTATAAGTACTGAACTAGAAGTCATAACAACGGCCCTTTCTCTCCCAGTCTCCGTAACGTGTGGGCTCCGGACCTCGAGGGCCCCCCTTCTCCTTGGTGACAGGGTTCACATCATCAGGGAACTTCTGCAGAGCAGCCCTGCTCTCCTCCTCGGGGCTGTCCAGGCGTCCCTGCGGGGTTTTAGCTTTCTTCAGCGGCTGCTTGTCCTTCACCGATCCGCTGGCTGCACGGGAACATCCTGTGAGAACACACACAGGAGTCCTTGCTGGAGCGCAGAGCCGCAAGACAGACAGCATGTCGGCGGACGGGGACTCTCTTCTGCTGGGACACAACGGTGATGTTCGGAGGAGAACACGATCTAGCACTAACCCCTCTTGCGTATGGTGGCTCAAAGGTTTCCCGAAACGTCTTCTTCTTCTCTCTTTTAATGGCGGATCGCAAACAGCTTTTAGTTGCATACCGCCACCTACTGTACATGAGTGTGTATCATCATGTCATTCCATCACTCAACTCATGGACGTATCCAGGGCCGCCCCTCCCTAGAGGCAGATCCGGGCAGATCACGCAGACTGCGTCGGGCCTCACCTCGCGTCATCTCGCGGAGGGAGCCTCAACTGAGCCGCAAATGCGGCGCACCTATGCGCTTATGTGGAACAATTCGGCGCGGCACAGTTTCGCCGCTGCAAGGCTCCACTAGCACCCCGCCCCCCCCCCCCCCCATCCCTTTTTTCTTAATTACTGCTTCTCCTTCTCCTTTTCCAAGTTGAACTGATAATGTTATTTCCTTTTGTAATGCACTTTTTGCTAATTTATCAGCACACTCGGTCCCTTTTACCCCCTCATGAGCAGGCACCCAGCAGAACTGAAGATCTATACCGCCTCTGTGAAGTCTTAACAAGCTATGGTTAAGTTCTATGAGTATATTTTCTCTGACAGTTGTTGACTGTACGCTTTTTAATATGGATAATGAATCTGTGCATATCACCACCCTATCTATCTGGTCTGACCTCTTCAACCCACTGTAATCCTATTATTACTGCCAGCATTTCTGCTGTTACACTGATAGATCTGACGCTCTTTTTGAGATCGATATTTTAAAGTCTGGGATATATATACCAACTCCAACACACTCTTCCTTGTTCTTAGAACCATCTGTGTATATGTTGAGGTAATTGTGATAATTATTCCTGAGCTACATACTTTCCCGAAACTTTGTTTTCTTCCAATATCTTGACTCTCCATAGATACAAGGTCACAAAAATACTAATTTAAACCACATACATTTTGAGGCTATTTTTGTTTGATTTATTGGTCTGCATCACATTGAGCAGTGTTTTGCTTATTTTGTCCACTTTGTCTCACAGGTGTAGGAGCAAACATGTTCACAATGCTCCTTACAATCCAATCCAAATAACGAACCAGATATGTTTGAAAGGTGAGGTTTCTGACCAGCTTTGTATTTGTGTATGTAAATGTAAAATGCATGATTTAGGAGGTTAACAGGTAACTAAACTGCTCCCTGGCGCCAGACAGACTGGCACCTCAATACAATGCATGCGTGCACCTATCTGTGTACTGTGTGTAAAACTGTGTTTTTACAAAATATATAAACCAGAGTGAAGAAAAATAAAGGTTAATCTTCTTCAAATTAATACACAATATAAAACTATTTCACTAAAATACCCTACTTTTATTTAAATAAACAATCCAAATATTTATTTCAAAACTATATTAAACTAACTGTAAATAAAATGGCTGCACAATGCATTTGGATAAACATTGTGATACAAGGAGGCAATTGCATGAATGATGTGACAAGATGTCACGCAAGCAGAATAAAAATGCATCCACAGATAATTCATTTGTTATTTGTGGACACCATAAGAATAGCAGTAATAAATTCAGGCAACGCTTTGCTATTTTTTTAAGTTTTATTTGTCTCCACTATTCAACACACCAAGTGCTTCAAGAACAATATTAACATCACAAACATCACGGGAACCCAACACAGCAGTGACTGTTTCCCCCGCTGCCAACCACACATATTGGTCCACATAATCTCAGCAGTAACCATCTCATTTTGCCATGGGCCTGGCAGGGGGAATCAGTGGGGGGGCGGGGAAGTGCAGATGACACAATCATCACATAATATTGACGCCTTCACACAACTGAATACATTGATTAATTTATGTAATTAAAAGATAATGTTATACTGAGAATAGACACACAAGATGTTTCTCTAATTAGTAGTAAGTAGAAGCGTGAGAACAGAAAGATTAGGATGAATCCTGGCGAGGGTCTACTGACCGCTGCTGGAGCTAAGGCTTTCTCAACAAACAAGCACTCTGCACTTTTAGACAGACAGTCACCCCAACTCAATCTTTAAAAGCCGACGTCTTCACACTGTTTGTCTCGTCCTCTCGGGCCTTAACGGATGTACTGAGGCCACTAATGATCGCTTGGTCCCACTGTCAAGGAGGTTGTTAGTATAGCGCTTAAGGGATGAGCTAGTACTGCATTTTGACAGAAGCGAAACACCGACACAGACACTTCCAAGCTTGGGAGTGGCTTGAGATTTACCATGTGGGGGAGAAAGGGAGACGGCACCAGGTGTGGAGACAGGAAGAAGAGGCATGAATTGAATACTGACTGATTATCTTGATCTATTGTTCAAATGTTACCTCTGAAAATGAATGTCATATCTGATCAGAAGTCAGTCACAACATTGTCTCAAAGCAGTTTTGATTTGTTTGGTTAAATAGAAAAAGAAACAAGCCTGTTCCCTTTAGTATGTTAGTTTCACATTATGTTTTTAAATACACATCACTAATCATGTAATCTTTAACAACTCTGACAACTCTGAAGTACAGTAGACAGCACAGGCCTGTGATTTATGGAGGAGTGAGGGGAAATAGCAGAGCAGATATAAGACTATAACTATACGCCACAGTTGAATGTGGTAGGTGTTTAGTAGGCGTGATTTTCCACGTAGAGGGATTTTCCTGCGGCGGTACCACTTCCAGAAGACCGGTACTTGCCGAGAGCGGCCTGACTGTTAGCCTGAATAAGAGACAAAAAGAG